TAAGACAATTTGAAGCCCGAAAATAAATACAGGGTGTTCCTTATTGACATACTAATATTTAAAGGGGTAATTCATCAGTTAATTTCTGAGATACAGGGTGATAAAATTTTCTAAAAAAATCGTTTTTTTATAACTCTGATTTTATTATAGATATAATTATGAAACTTGATATACGTTTTCTATGTATCAAAGTACCTTTTTTGGTGTACAAAGAATTTTATTTATTTCAACCAGTGCCGTTCATACGGGGTTTACATTCATTATTTTTAGAGAAAAAAGTGGTATGCCACTAACTTCTCTTAAAATGAAAATTATTCTCAAAATCTTGATTCATTTCTAAACGTTTTTTATCTTTTATACTTATACTGCTCTCTTTTCTACTCATATAGTTCATATCAAATAAACTTTTAGTCACATAATTAAGCTTAACCGACACAGTGTTGCCAATATTTTCTTTTAATCAAAATATTTTATGAAACAAAAATAAATTAATTATAAATATATAAACGGATATTTACATCAACAAAACTCAGTTCCTTAACAGCATTAAGGGATACAAAGGGTCATTGCTACCGCTGTTCCGTTCAAAATATTCTAATAAGTTTGCGATGAGATTTTTGCAGCGCCTACTTAGCTACTCGTATCTTGTACACTTTGCACAAAAAGAGATTCTGGAAAGAACAATGTCCGACTGCAAGGTCTGCTAGTAAAAAATTTTAAGCCTAAAGTATCACAACACAATTCATTAAACCGAATTAAAAAACTAAAGTGTCACAATGAATGACAATGTGACATTTTTTACAGCAAAGCTACCACCTGAATCCGTTTAACTGGTGTCGAATATTTATGTAAATATTGTCTTATTTACGTTTAGAGGTATATTTGGGAAAGATTTTCTTTCTTTGTTTTCCCTTAACGCTCGATTGGCATTTGCTCAAGCGAAATTCATGGATATAACCCGACTCCAGATGAGACAGGCAGCAGAGTGCTGAAAGAGGCACAAGAACAGGCAATCTTGACGCTTTATATGAATAAGGCCTTATTTGCATGGCACGTGGAATCGACAAGGTAGCTATCGAGTGGCAAAAGCGTGCCATTGGGAGATAATAGAGATTTGGATATAGACCAAATGTGCGTTTAAATAAATGTTTGCTGTTTATGTGGAGTCAAATTCTGTTATTACATATTACGATTTGGAAACTTTACTTTGACACCACCACAGTTGTTTTTTACATGTTAAAAAGCCTTTGAATTTTTGCTCTGTTTACATTTTTAAGTTTAATATTAAATATTAATTTAACATATTTCCCAGGTGTAATTTATAAGGGTAGTTACAGTCCAATTTATTATCACCGATATGTTTATTTATTCAGTTTGATATTCATAAAAAATATTGTCACAATTTTGGGGATTATGATACACATTTAATTTTTGAAGCGAAACTTGTTTATGTGCGTTGGGAGTAAAATCAAGACAGATAGATAGACAGACAGAGACAGATAGTTAATGCACACTATCCGTTCCATATCCTTTCCTTTCATACATTTTTTTTTGCTGAAACAGTGTTGTCAAGTACTTTTATTTCTTCTTTCACCTCTTAATTAAATCTGTTTCCTTCTTCAAAAGATACAAATTTTTTAAAATTAAACTTTCGTAATGATATAAATTGTACAATAAAAAGTATGGAACTCATACGGAACGGAAGCTTATGTATAGCGTCAATACAATAAAAAATGCGGAACGGATATGGAATGGAAGCGGAAGGTATAGTGATAATCAATCTTAAATGCTATGCCTGGACTGACTTTTCTCAAAAAAGTGTAATTTTTCAGAAAAAGTGTAAATTTTCAGAAAAAGTGTAATTTTTCAGAAAAAGAGTAATTTTACAGAAAAAGTGTAAATTTTCAGAAAAATTGTAAATTTACAGAAAGTGTAAATTTACAGAAAATGTGTAAACTTTCAGAAAAAGTGTAAATTTATGGAAAAAGTGTAATTTTACAGAAAAAGTGTAATTTTACAAAAAAAGAAAAATTTTTCAGAAAGTGTAATTTTACAGAAAAGTGTAATTTTTTAGAAAGTCTAATTTTACAGAAGATGTGTAAATTTTCAGAAAAATGTAATTTTACAGGAAAAGTGTAAATTTACAGAAAAAGTGTAATTTTTCAGAAAAAGTGTAAATTTACAGAAAATGTGTAAATTTTCAGAAAAAGTGTAAATTTATGGAAAAAGTGCAATTTTACAGAAAAAGTGTAATTTTACAGAAAAGTGTAATTTTTTAGAAAAAGTCTAATTTTACAGAAAATGTGTAAATTTTCAGAAAAAGTGTAATTTTACAGGAAAAGTGTAAATTTACACAAAAAGTGTAATTTTTCAGAAAAAGTGTAAATTTTCAGAAAAAGTGTATTTTTACAGAAAAAGTGTTAATTTTCAGAAAAAGTGTAAATTTTCAGAAAAAGTGTAATTTTTTAGAAATTTTACATATAAAGTAAATTTACAGAAAAAGTGTAATTTTACAGAAAAACTAAGACTTAATACTCTGCACAATAGAGTGTTGCCACTAATTGAAACCAACTTTTGACTTAATATTCTCCTGAAAGAACTCCGTCAGCATTATAATGACAAAAATGTCAGACGATTCAAAAGAAAAAGAAAGAGGAGTGGAATACGAAAGCAAAAATTTCTTTGTTCTTCGAATTAATTAAATTCAGACTGAAGTAAAAGACTTCCTCTAATGAGGCCGGTCGTTAAAAGATCCATCCGAGTTATAAACGTTTAGTTTTTGAGAGAAGGAACGCTCCAGTTATAAATGTTGTGCCCTTTGACCGAGAGAACTAGATGGCTTGTCGAGGGAGCAGCTAAACCGGCTCCTAGCTCCACTAATTAAGGAGCTATTGTTCGGATAGTAAGGGCCAGATAATAAGCCTTTTGAGGGAGAAAATTGACACTCTTCGGTCGAACAAAGCAGCTTTAAGCATCTCCTGATTCGTTTTAATGCTTCCTACCTGAAGTAAAATGCATACAACTCGTGTTTTTCTATTGTAGATATTTTTTTGTTAAAAACTGTAGAAAACACTGTCAACATCATTTTCATAATGTTGTACTTTTTATTTTTATTTGTTTTTTTTTCTGAGTGTATTTGCAAAGAAAGTATGTAATGTCCTAAATATGATAAAATAAAAATAATTTATCACTAAATATAAAGATTGTAGTTCATAGAATGTATGATTAAACAACTGTTTCTTTCAAAATACACTTTTCATCAGACTTTCGTGTACGTGTACTCGTAATGTGAAATATAAAACCAATATAAATTAGGCTTTATAAATTATCTGCGTGTTATCAGAATATAGTAGCATAATTAGTGGGATACTAATAACACAAAAGAGCATTTGATATGAAATTTCTTTTAATTAAGCAAGTGCATTTTTAATTAGCCTTAATAATTGATGAGGATAATGAGACATATCATCCTTTACTTAGTTAAATTATATTAGATTGCTTTTACCGTCAGTAAATTATTAATAAGCTTAAAAATGGAAGAAAACCCTTCCAAAAATCAGGTAATTAATATACAGTATGTCCCCGAATCATCTTTACAAGAAGGAACATTTTTTTTGAAGAAACAGAATTTGCATGTTCTAAAATTGGTTTTTATTTTTTTTTAATTTTATATCTCAAAGTCTATTAAGTCAAATTATACTCTGTTTTTTTTCTCAGGTACGATTTCGACAGACGATGACAGAAGAAAAGCAGATGACGTCCCATACCAATCTATTTGTTTTATTAAAAAAAGTTTCAAATATTTTTTAAGTTAACTATGGATGTGTTTAAATATAAATCCGTCATACGTCGTCTCTTATTATTTTTAACCACTTTTATTGGTTTATTTCAAAAACGACAGATCATATTTCAATTTTATTGGTTTAAGGAACGATGAACGACAAACGGACGCCGATACGTATGAATTCGCCTTTAGATTTTTGAGACTTGTCAAAGTCTTGCCAAATTATAGGTTATAATTTTGTGTCAACTTATGTGAAATATCTGCGTTTTGGAAGATGATGCATTTTGATTCGTGTTATTACGTGTGTTTTGTGTCTTTTGAAGTCAAGTGGAGGAAAAATCGAGGGAAAATTAACTGTAGAGCCAGAGCACAGTTTATAGTTAATACCCGCTGCCCAGGCAGAAAGTCTTGTACACCAATAAAGTTACCATCAATAAAGTTTGTATACCATCTCGTCGTAGATAAGTGCATCCCGTATATGGTATAAGGATCGTACTAAACATATACTACTGAAGTAGCTGTAAAATATCGACATCACACGATAGGTAAATAATGGATTTTAGTACTGCAGAAAAATAATGCCAAAAGGTACTGATGGTTTAAAAAAAATAAGATTAATAGTTAATTAATCAACCTTTAAGGTATGAAATTTGGTAAGTGTTATTATTAATAAAATAGTTTGTTTTATTTATTCCTGTGGAATATTACAAATTTGTATTTGTACATAAGTTATATTGATAAATATAATAATAAATACGGAAAGTTTCTTGAAGCTTGAAAGTAAGAAATAGTTCTTTTTTATATTTTTTTTTTGGTAAGTGGTGTTTTTGTCTTGTTTGTTTTGTATTAACACATACCGTTTTTTTTAAATAAAATAACTCGATAAATTTTTTTCAGTTTTATACAGTTCTTTTTCACAATATTTTGAAGCAATCACTTATCAGTCAAATTTTAAATATATTAATTTCCTGCTATGCGTTCCAGTTGTACCAACTTATTTCCTTTTAAAATAAAATAAACTACTTTGAAATTAAAATGACAGACACATCTATCACTGTCAAGGATCTTGTCGTTGGACAGACTATACTGTGCGACGAGTTATTTAACTTAAGGAAGACGGATCCTATAGATGCATAAGTACACGGTGATTAACTTTCACCACAATCTACATTTATGTATATACATTAAATTTTATTTTTCTATTTAATTTCCTTACCTCCATCAAATCCTTTTTGACACACCACCATCACAGAATGATGAGTCACATTTATAAGCCCACAACCCTGCGGCGGATCAGGTTTCCCAGCCGGTACTATGTGGTACGTGCACGCTATCCTTTGGACCCCAATCTCATTCTTGCCACGGCACTGGATAGTACCGTAATCGGCTGCTTCGTGTGGGATGTAGGTTAGGACACTTGTACCACCTTCTTTTTGGGAGTGTTTGGTCAAGTCCTTGGAGATGCCGGGGGTACTGTTGAAGCTCCATTGGAAGTCTGATGCTTGTGGTTCGGCGTCGACCTGAGAAAAAAATAAAAATAGTATAGCAAATTTATTTTTTTTAGATAGAAGAGAAAGAAGAAGAGATTAAAGAATTAGGAATTAGAATAATGCAATTTTACCGTCGTGTATAAAACAATATTTTTTTCCATAGCGAGTTACGTTTTAAAAAATATTCAGAAATTATTATTTCAAGGAATTTATTACGAGTAGAAAAAATGTTGTGCTGGGCCGGCGTTGGTTTCTATGTAATTTGACAAATAAATAAAGCTGTCTCTTTAGTTGTCAGTTTTGAGTCAATATTTTTGAATTCTCTTTCGTGTCGATTGCTGATTGAATTGGAACCAGAAATGGCTCAAAACGAAATAAGTAAATTACCAACAGATATTCAGGCTGAGGCGACAAACGCCATATCCAAACTACTTCCATTGAAATTCGGAATAACTTATGAAAAGGAATACAAAAAATTTCAAAAATGGAAGCAATTAAAAAACGTGAGAGAAGAAATAAAATTTTTAACATATCCTCGCTGTTAAAGTATCATTTAATCTACCCTTGTGGTTAAAATACTATTTTATCTACTATTTTTGATAGATATAAGGCACTTTTAACAGTTGCTATAGAAAGAAAATAATAAAGTATTAAAAATACTTTAATACAATATAAATATACCGTATATCTTTCAGTTTTCTTAATTTAAATGAAAACACTAAGCTCTCGAGTTCGGTAAATCACCCCATAAAAAAGAAATTTCGTAATAATAAGGTCTAATAAATTTCGGAAAATTAGAATTTGTATTTCACACCGGGAGACTACGTATTTTCTTAAACCCTGCTTACTTATTTGCTGGATTATCCCCAAAAAGTTTGTAAGGTTTAGGGATCCCACGGCCTGGGGATTTTAGCCAGAAGACAGGGTTATTTTTTTTGAAGTCGTATTTATGGGGTATTTATTTTCTTTACGTTTATTTTTGTATAATTTATTTAATGATATATGGTGTTTTTTTTTCATTTACCCTGTATTTTCGTAACCTTGTTTTTGTTGTATTCCGGTACAAATGTAAATATCAAAGAACTTTTATTAAAACACGTGAAATTTTATGGTTATGAGCGTGAAAAATAAAACAAAAGTTTGACAAATTTCAAAAATTTTAAGTTCCGCAAAAATGACTGATTTTTGAAATAAACCAATAAGACTGGTTAAAAGCAACGCCATGACGAATTTATATACAGGGTGTTTCAAAAAACATGTGCCATCTCTCGTGGGGAGATTCCTCACGTATGTTTTTTGAAACACCCTGTATAAACCCATCCATCATCATCATTATCATCATCATGTAGCCATCGTTGTCCACTGCTGAACGTAGGCCTCCTCCATATTTCTCCATGTCTCTCGATTTTGGGCCGTCATCATCCAATTTCCAGCAATCCTCTTTACATCATCGGTCCAGCGTGTCGGTCGTCTGCCTCTGCTACGTTTATCTGCTCGAGGTCGCCATTCTAACAATCTTCTAGTCCACCTGTCTTTAGATGTTCTCGCCACATGACCTGCCCTTCTCCATTTCATTCGAGTTACGTGTTCCACTATGTCTTTAATTTTGTTTTTTTGTCTGATAGTGTTATTAGGAATTTTGTCTCTTTTAGTTATTCCAAGCATGCCTCTCTCTATGGCTCTCTGGGCTACTCTTAAATTTTCTGCTGACTTTTTCGTTAATGTTAGAGTTTCCGCTCCATATGTAATTACCGGCAAGACGCATTGTTCATAAACTTTCCTCTTCAAGCATATGGGTATATCACTTTTAAAGATCTCCCGCAGTTTGCCAAAAGCAGCCCAACCTAAACCTATTCTCGTGTGTTTGGTTGTTCTTTCCGATTTGTATTTCGTGCCCGAGATATTTGTATATATGTGTTTCTTTTATGTCAGCGTCACCTATTCTGATGTTCTGTGTCAGCACTAAGTTTGTCATTTGCGTTTTACTCGTATTTATCCGGAGACCGACTTTTAATGAGGCCTGCATTAATTCTTCGAGCATCTGCTTTGAATCTCCGATGTTATCTGAGACAACGACGATGTCATCTGCGAATCTGAGATGTGTCAACCTTTCACCATTGATATTTACGCCCCTATTCTCCCAAGAGAGTGATTTCATTGCGTATTCAAGGACAGCTGTAAAAAGTTTAGGCGAAATAGTATCCCCTTATCGAACTCCTCTGCCTACCTCAATTTTATCTGTTGTTTCGTGAAGTTTTACAGTTGTGGTGGCATTACTATATATGTATTCTATAAGCCTTGTATACCTATAATCTACTTTTCCCTGCTCCAATGCTGCTATTATTGATGTTAATTCTACTGTTGTATTCCACAGATTTTTCTATCAGGACTTTAATTACTTGAAGATGATCGTTTGTTCCATAACCTTTCCTAAAGCCTGCCTGTTCTCTTGGTTGATAGAACTCTAGTTTACGTTCGAGACGTTTGGCAATGATTTTGGTAAACAGCTTATACAAGTGACAAAGAAGGCTTATCGGTCTATAATTTTCAAGCTCGGTGATATCGCCCTTTTTATGGAGAAGTATCGTTATGGCGTTGTTCCATTGAGACGGGATTATTCCTTTTTCAAGGCATAGATTAAATAAGTCTTTAATCCATTTTAATAGTGTTCCTCCTCCGAGTTTTACAGCCTCAATCACTATGCCGTCCTCGCCCGGGGCTTTGTTATTTTTCATTTCTTTTAAGGAGTTTCTGATTTCTTCTGTAGTTATTTCCGGTATATCCCTGGTTAACTATCTTTTTGCACAGACGTTTTTGCACAGACCAAACCAATCCAAACCAAACCCATCCATAGTTAACATAAAAACCTATTAGGAACCTTTTTTAGTGAAATAAATGGGTTGATATTGACGTCGTCTGCCTTTTTTCTGTCATCGTCTGTCAAAATCTTCCCTGAGTCCTATGCCCGAGTCGTAAAAATGTGTTTATATTGAACATATTTTTAATGAGTGATCTCCTTGTTCAAAGTTGTAAACTAATGTATTATTTTTTATCATTGTTTTAAATTATATAGTATAAAAATCTTTAAAATAAATAGTAGTTCATAGAACATAGAATTTGATATTTACATTTTAGTATTGGTTGTTAGGTTAGGTTGTAACTGTTTCCTTGTGTGTATATTACAGAAATAAACATAATTTCAATATAAACCTCAAGAATATATATTATCTTGTCAGGCTGCAGGGTCGTAAATGGAACGGCAATAAAAATAACATCGCCTTACAGGGAATATCCCTGTCCCTCTCACCCCTGGACTACCGGATATTCCTTCAGGCTTTGTGGAGGAGCTTTTGGAGATAATCCAGAAAATAAGTAAGTGCGCTTCGGGATAATACATTGCTTGCCAGGCAAGCGCGCCGCTATCCAAATTTTAATTTTGGAAATTTATTGGGCCTTATTGCGGCTGGAATTCTTTCTACCGGCAAGCGTAATTTATTATTTTCTCCGGGTAATACACTGTTCTGTTCTGCCTTTTAAATAACAAACGATTCGAAAAGAACCCTTACCCGATTTCTGATAAAATTAAAAATTTTGCTAGAAAAAAAGAAATTTCTAGAATGGTAAAAAACTCATAATCTAAGAGCTAGCAACGTTTTCGAGAAAGTATTTTAAGTCGTCTGGCTCTTTGATATATCTTTTACTATGCTCTCTGGAACAGCATGTGGGCCGTCTGGCTGCCGATACCCGTTGCGTTCACTACTGCGCATCGGAATTTAGGAATTTAGTCCTATAAATTCTAGTATTGAACATAAATCGAACATGTCTCCATAGCGCAGTGCGTAGAGTTTCCGACTACGAACTGAGGATTCAGAGTTCGAATCCGGGTCAGGGCAAATACTTTTTTATTTTATTTTCGTTTATATTCTCATAGTAGAGTATTAAATGATTTTGGTGATTCAAAAAAAAAACAAATATTATAATACTTTACTATAAGAATATATTTTTTTTAGACAAATTTCCCTCATCATTTTTTTTCTACACCCCTAAATGAGGCGATTCGGTGGGACATATTGACGTGTTTTTCTTTCTTGTCATTTTCCAAAATAAGAAAAAAAACGAAGGAAAATTCCTTATTAAAATCGCTGTCGATCTAGATTAGCTGTACGTAAGGGGAGTTATTTTCCAGATTATATCCGAGGAAAAAATGAAATGAAGTAAAAAAAGAAAAACATTTTACAGATTCAGTTTGGAAAATGCTGGCGACAACAGGAAATTAACTGAGCTTAATATAGTATTCAATTTATTTTTATACGTGCAGTATGATATTTTTAATCAAAAATAAATAAAATTTTGGATAAAAAAAATAGGAAGGAGTATAATCCTATTCACGAATTAATGCATGATTGATAGTCTGGTCACTTTACATAAAATGTTTATATTTTTTCATCAATTTAAGAGAAAACAAATTCCAGCAATCTTTCCTGCTCCAAACGGTGTAAACCTCATACATTACTCTCCTAGACAGATAGAAACATCTTAATCATCAATTTCCAGAGGTGCGAGACGTCGGCCTGCTTCGGGCTAATAGGCCGCGATTGCAAGATGCACCTGAGGCGCTAATAGATGGCGCCGGGGCGGTTTGAGCCGCTCGTTTAGCCCTGGCACGCTTCCAATTATCTGGAAAGTGGTCGGGAATTTTGTGCGTTTAACTCTATTCCGGACGTCCCGGGTTTCAGGGTTTCTGAAGTTTATTTGTTCGATGAGGCTAATGAAATTTTCCGGCTTTAATTATATAAAACATTTTATTTTTGAAACATGTTTATTTTGAACCAGGAAACCTAATAATGTTTTTCTTTAATGGAAAAATTAATAAGGAATTACGAACCTAAAGAAGAACCGTACGAAAACTCAAAAAAATTGCTAAATCCTTTGACAATATTATATCCAATTGCAAGTCTGACTTATTGGTGCGCCAGCCTGAGGAGTAGTGGCGTCTCGTGGTTATTATTGTAGGGAGGTCAATATCTAAA